TGTAGCCTAATTACGCTGGTCCATAGGTCAGAATTAGTATAGGAAGATTTTTCCCCAAAAACTCATAGATGCTATAACAGAAATGGCTTTCCTATATCGAGAAGAAAAAAAGTAACTTGAATTTATTTAAAGAGATCTGCATCAGGGATATTTTTCTCAGTACTCAACTCTGGCTGGTCGACTATTGTGATAATTTATTATCCAGCATATTTGTTTTACTTTTAACTCTTTTCTGGTGAATATCGATTAAGATTTCCCATTTTCCCTTTGCATTATTCTCAGAATAGCTGTAATTTCATTCAAAAGCATGTAATTAGTTTTAATCGTCGGTTTCCCTTATACTTCATTCCTTTGCTGTTTTTATTTACACTTTACGTTGACTTATTGTGATGAATAAAAGACAGCAAAATAAATGCAACATGAATTAGAGGTCTTAATAACAGTGACCTTGGTATAACAATATTAACAGGTGTAGCAGAAATGGAAGATGAAATAAATTTAAGTCTTAAGCTTCAATAGAGAGGAAAGTAACATGAATTGAAACTTTAAGGAACAGAAGAGGCCCTACTACAAATGGAAAACAGGTGGGGAAATCATAGAATGTATTTATTAAGAACAGTACAGTGACAATGTAGAAACATTTCACCTTGTAGCGATCGTGAAAGATATGTTCACAGTTAAAGATGTGGTAAGAATAGATGGTGCAGTAACAGTTCAAGCTATAGTCAGCAGTGGAGCATGTAGCTAATATTAAGCGGTTTGGCTCAGTAGGAGGTGAAGTAACATAGAAAGGAAGATATTGTTAATAAGCAAGCGTTTGATAGTAGTTTTGGAACCAGAAGGAGCGGCACAGAAAAAGTAAAATGTGAGCAACAAAAAAAATGAACCAACAGTAGGAAAACTGCAATTATATTTAAAGGTATATTGATGGGTTTAATAGTAAAGGAACATGAGAAAGTGTAATAATATTTGAAGGGTTGATAACAATAGGAGCTGTGATAAAACTTTAACATGCAGTATAGTTCCAGTGTAAACAGTACATCTAAACCTGTAGGTGTCAAAGCAGTTTAATACATCTAAACTATAAAGGGTAGCGATAGAATAAGGCAATGTCACATTCAAACGATTAGAAACTAGAGGAGCAGGAAAGAAAAACAAAGAGAGACGATATAAAAAGAATGTGAAATGCACTTAAAACCTCTGATAACAGTAGAAGGATTGGTAAAAGTGACAATTGCAGTAAAAAAGGATGGTATTCAAAACAGTTAAATAATCGATAAAAGTAGTAAATGTGAACATATTAGGAAAATTAAAAAAACAATAACTGTTTTTCATAACTATTGAAGATGTCTGTATACTAACATTACATGGTTTAGCAATATCAAGGAGAGTGATACTAACAGTGAATTCTAATAGAGTAACAGTATACAATTAGAAGTGTACAACCTCTATGTACTGTGAAAGATTCACGGACAATAACACACTCAGCGACTGTACAGTTGCAGTAATAATGAAAGATTCACCCTCCACTGCCATTACCTTCCACTATCTTCTACAACAACTTAATTCCAGTGAGAGAGCTGCACGCCACATGAGTATCAAGGAAATTGCAAACTATATTCTTCCCTATGCTTATGCGTTTCTTCTTGGTGATGTTTATGTGTACTCGTAACAACACACTTTTTTCCATTGTTTTGAATATTGCACGAACTGTTTTATTTCTGTAATTAGCCTGAAGCTGTATAATTGGACAGCCACAGTTAGCACTGGAATGTTAAAGATTAAGATGATACCATTTCAATGCTATATGTTCAGAATCTCTTCAGTTTAACTAACATGTACCAGTCATTTCAAGTTTGTCAGGTTTTTCACTTATGTTGCATGTGATATTAATGTGATAATTGTTGGAATTCAGGTATTTCTTGTGGAAACAATTTTTTAAGTAACTATCGCTTTTCAGTTTTTTCAGAGGATGCTGAAATTTAATAGTGATCAAGAAGAGCCTCAGTCATTCTTCGAGAACATGAACTCCACTATGCTGGCAAATTGCCTCTCGCGAATCTATCAATATGCCATAACGACCTCAACAAGATTTTTCAACAAGAAAATAGTTTAAAACATTCCATTTCTGGTCTTTTAAATATTTTATTAACTTGTTTGAAGACCCTAACAGAATGGTTTATTTTTGACATTTCCTATGACATCACGCATTTCTGACAGGATGTTCGCCTCGTTAGCTGATTTCCAATCCAATCCCATATACTATCACTAATTTGCCTTATAAGGCAAATTGCCTTAAAAATTGTTTCGTTTGTGACTTTCTTTAGTTTCGGGGTTTTAGAGTTCTCAAGATTTTCTTTTTGAAATATTTTCAATTTCATTGCTATGCAGAACATAATCGGTCTGTTGAATGTAAGTTTCGCGCCAATTATTTATATATATGAAAATCGGTCCATGTTCTATATTTATAAACGGTTGCACATGATACGACATTTGTTAGTCAAATTTCAAAGTCACTCTCTTTGTCCTAAGACAGAAAAATGGTACGTTTCGGGAAAACAGAGGTATCGAAGGTACATTCTAATTATGTGTCTCCCGGTTTTCTGATATATCCAAGGTCTCGAGAGTAGTTTTTGGAACGTGAAGTGTAGTTTATTTTACGTTACAATTATCATTTCAAGTTCAAGTTTCCAAGAATGTGATTGTTTGCTTTAAAGTTTACTTTTTTGAGGATTAAATTGTACTTTTATTTGTTCCAAACATATAAAGGTTATTTTTATAGCTACATAAACATAAGGTCTACTAGTTGTATACAGCGAGGGGTTAATGTCCTGTTACCCCACTGGTTGATATCTGTTCAGAGTAGCAAGTGTAATACTTGTCATGTGGCTTGGATTAACCCTCATGTGAGCATCAAGGAAGAAAAAGCCATGAGAGTTGTGGCAAAAGGGATATGACGGCTCCCTTTTTTCCCTACATATTGGTACATTCAAATTTCAAGTATATAGCAACAGAAAAAGGGAAGTGTTAGTAGAAGTTCTAGTCAAAGAGGGAGATGTAGTAAGTATAGAAGGTGTGGTGACAATAGAAGGGATGGTAACCACCTAGCTTAGATTTAATTTTGAACGTAAGAGGTTGGTAAATTTGTATCACTAGCAATACAAGGTGTTGTAAAAGTCAAAGGTGATATGAAATATAGAATACTTTAGAACTGGCAGCTGGAAATGTAGTCATAAATCTTTTATAGTAGTAGCACTCGTAGGGATAGAACAACATGGATTAATGGTACAAGGTAAAGATACTCTTGATCATCTTGTGCGCCAACGTAACGAACGAGATAGCAGAAGTGAAATTAGTGCTGATCCGTAGAAGACATAGTCCTATTTAAAAGAGTATCATCAATTACGAATTTAGGAGCCCTCATGATGATATCATCAAAATAAACGATTAACTGATAAAAGTTAGAATTAAAGAACATTAAACAACTCTACAGGCAGAGATTAAGTAACAATTGATGGTGAGAAAACAGTGAAGAGTGTAGTATCAAGATTGGAATCTGTTATTAAATAACATCCCAATCGAAAATAAGTGTTAGCTATGCACTCATGGTTATATTCTGGATAATAATTACGACTTTCAATTATCACAGTTGGCGAGACTAATGAAACAAAGTTGTTAAGATAATGAACAATGTGCATCTTCGTTGCATATTATGGGTAATTATTACGACTCTCAATTATCACAGTTGGTGAGACTAATGAAACAAAGTTGTTAGGATAATGAACAATGTACATCTTCGTTGTATATTATGGGTAATAATTACGACTCTCAATTATCACAGTTGGTGAGACTAATGAAACAAAGTTGTTAGGATAATGAACAATGTGTATCTTCGTTGCATATTATGGATAATAATTACGACTCTCAATTATCACAGTTGGTGAGACTACTAAAACAAAGTTGTTAAGATAATGAACAATGTGCATCTTCGTTGCATATTATGGGTAATTATTACGACTCTCAATTATCACAGTTGGTAAGACTAATGAAACAAAGTTGTTAGGATAATGAACAATGTGTATCTTCGTTGCATAGTATGGATAATAATTACGACTCTAAATTATCACAGTTGGTGAGACTAATAAAACAAAGTTGTTAGGATAATGAACAATGCACATCTTCGTGACCATATTACTCCCTGTTACTAAAAATGTGGCCACATTAAACTGCCTGACTTCATTGATTACACACCAGCTGAACATTGCACGACTTCAATGTGCTGTAACCTAGTTAGGCTGGTCCATGTCCTCAAAACTTGAATCCAGTTTCTTTCAGAATTAGTATAGGAAGATTTTTTTCCAAACAATTCATAGATGCTCTGACAGAAATGGCTCTCCTATATTAGGAGTAAAAAGGTAACTCTTGAATTTGTTTAAAGAGACCTGTTTCAGTCTTGTCTCAGCACTAAACTTTAGAAGGTCGACTATTTCGACATTTTATGATCCAGTACATTGATTTTCCTTTTCACTCTTTCCCGTTGAATTTCGACTAAATTTTGCCATTTTTCTCAGAGTAGAATTCATTGAATTCAAGGGCATGTAATTAGTTTTAACTATTTATTGCCCCTAGACTTTATTTCTTTGCTGTTTTTAATAACACTTTACGGTGTAACTTTTTATAATGAATGAAAAACAACGAGATGGATGTAGCATGAATGGGTTCAGTAACAAAAGTGGACTTAATAACAGTAACGCCTGTAGCAATATAAACAAGTGTACAAAATTGGAAGACGAAATAAAAGTACGGTCTAGAATAAGTTTGCTCAGATCAAAGAATCCTGGCTTGCTTTGTCCCAACTGACTATTCATTTGAGCTGAAAGTGTTTTTGTTATTGCCAGAAATGACGTTTTAAAAATTGACATTTTGGAATTGAAATCCGCCATCTTTGTTATGACGTAGCTATGACGTAAGAAAAGTCAAACACTGTAGTCTCGACTAAGATGGATGAAAACATAGAAAGCAGCGGCGAGGAGAGCGACAATGACTCAATTCTAGACTCGGATCTTCCTCCAGACGGTGTAATTGGTCCATTCATGTTTGAGCCGCAACATAGCTCGCCTTCAGGAGAAGAAGAAATTTCTGTTGACGAAGAAACTCAGGAAGAGATTCAAGGAGAAACATCTACGCGCTCACTTCTTGGAAATCTCGAGTGGTGCTCATGCGGTAACTGTCAAGAGATGCCAGCAGAAAACGAGTGTATGTGCTATCAAGAAATGAAAGTACTGGGTGATTGACTCGATCTGGAAGGTAGTTAATTCTTCTGAAATAAAATCTTTGTTTCTTAAGTTTTATTTTTGATTTTTTCACAAAAGAAAAGCGCAGTGCCCGCGACTGATTATTTCACACTGCTAACTAAGTGATATGAACTATCATTGAAATTGCAAGGAGCAAGCTTCAGTGTATTACTGAGCACAGATCATTTGGACCTGTGTGTTTACTAGCCGAAGTCTTAAGAACAGCCCTTGTTGGCATGCATCAAGTGAGGAAAGATAGAGTTGGAGATTATCCGTCAAATGAGTAAGCACTGACAGAATAAACATTTTTCACAAAATTCATGCAAACAAAACGCTTAAGTTGTTTACAAGTTAGTCTGATGAAGAATGCAGTTTGTTGTCAGCCCTTTTATTTCAAGTGGTGTTGTAATCTTTTGTCCCAAGTGTGAACTTTACCACAATATTTATTGTATATAGACCTCTTTAGTTTGTATGCTTTGTTTCTTTATGAAAGTAAATCACGTGTAGATACGGACGTGAACAAGACAAAATTGAAAGAAAGAGTATTCTAAAAAAATTTTAAAAAAGAAGTCCACTGTTCTAAATTTGTTACAAGTAATCAGAGCCTCACGTTATACGACGAGCGTCAAGAAGTCTCCCGTTGTTGAACAGCGTTAGCTTAGGATAAGTTAATATCAGTTTCCCCAATCAGGCACTTGTGGATTGCAATGCAGCGATGAAAAAACCCCTTCTTGCGGAGAGTGACTTGAGATTTAAACTCCTCAGTGCTTCGGTTGACGAGCTTCGGGGTGGGTGCCCCAGCAGAACTTTAGCAGCTTTATTCTGTAGGATCTGTAATTCTGACATTATGGTGTCCTTGTTCTTGTCCCCCCATATAACATCTCCGTGATAAAAAAGAGGGAGGATTAGGGTGTTGTACAAGGTAACTCTAGCTTTTAGTGGCAATGCATTCCTGATTATCCTGATTAGGCCTATCCTTTGATTAATCTTCGTGCTAATAGCATCGATATGATCTGCCCATGACATAGATTGGTTGAATGTCACGCCTGGGTACTTGAATGATTGTGTTTTCTCAATACAAGTGCCCTCTACTTTGACCAAAATATCTTATTGCGATTTAGTTTCTGAGGACTTCCAAAGATAACAAAATTACATTTGGATATATTCAGAGTAAGAAGATTTCTAGAGAACCACTCAGGATGATAGTAAAAACAGATGAATAAATGGAGAAAGCAGAAAGTGGGAAAAAATTAAGGAAAATCGACTGTGGCAACAGTCTATATACCAACATCATATGGTTTAGTATCAAGAGCAGTGATACTAATAGTGGATCATGTAAGGGTATAGTATTCTTTAGAGGTGGACACCATTTATGTACTGTGAAAGATTCACTAACATTAACACCTTCAGCGACAGCACAGTTGCAGTACAGTAATAATGAAAGTTCTGCTCCCACTGCCTTTACCTTCAAATCTACAATAACCTTTAAAATGTTAAAATTTATTTAAAGAGCCGCACGCAGCATGTGGATGAGAAGGAATTTACAAAATAAATTAATCAAGTGCACTCGATGAATCTACCGAGCTTAGTGGCGACAACATAATATTTTGAAACTTAGACTATTTCAGCTGGATGTGGAATTCCCTGCCGTGTGTTGATCTGTTAACTATTATGGACGTCGACTCTCTAGTGAATCTCTACTTTCTATTGAGTGAGTTTGGTGATTATATTAGAGGTTGTCAGGAATAATTGATAGTGTGACTCATTCACCTTTGCATGTAACAAAAGTTGAAAGGTGGGTTTCTGTTTTCTTTTTCAACATTTCAAGCTGTAAGAAATGTTCAGGTGAATGAGACAATCCTGTGGAATTATTCGGAGTTCAAAGTACAAACCTCTTCACTATGATGTATATTATCACAGGCCTAAACGGATACATTCAATGGCAAAGATTAAGATGATACCATTTCAATGTTACATTTGCATAATCTTCTCATGTTCGACCAATCACGCATCAGTCCTTTGAAGTTTCTCAGGTTTTTCACTTTTGTTGCATGTATGATTAATGTGACATTTGTTAGAATTCAGGTATTTCTTAAGGAGCCAATTTTAAGTTACTGTCCTATTTCATTTCTTACAGGAAAAGAGGATGCTACAATTTCATTGTAATCTACAGGAGCCTGAGCCATTCTTTGTTAATATGGACTCCACCATCTTGGCAAATCGCTTTTAGCGGAGTTATAAATATGCCATAATGACCTCTGCAAGATTTCCAACAATAACAACATATTAAAACATTTCATTTCTGATCTTTGAAATATGTTATTGACTTGTGTGAAGACCCCAATAGAATGGTTCTTTCTTCGCATTGCCCATGACATCACGCATTTCTGACCAGGATGTTCGGCTCGTTAGCCGGTTTCCAAACCAATCCGTTTTACTATCCATGTTAATGATTAGGAGAATTGTTTAAAAACTCCTTTGTATATTTAGGAATGTGTTTTGCTTTCATTGGTATGCAGAACATAAGTGGTCTCTTGAATGTAACTTTTGCACTAATTATTTTTATTTGTGACTCGAGACAAGCTTGAAAATTGGTCACGTTCTATATTTATAAACGGTGCTACATGATACGACTTTTGGCAGTCAAATTTCATAGTCAGTCTCTTTGTCCTAAGACAGAAAAAAATACATTTTGGTATCTAATTTAGTTTTTGAAACTCGAAGTATAGTTCATTTTACGTCACAATAATCATTTCAAGTTTAAGTTTCCAAGAATGTGACTGTCTACTTTGACAGTAACTGTTTTTAGGGAGAACCGTTTTGGTTATTTTTATAACTACATATATAAGGTCAGCTGGTTTACCAGACATTCAAAAGGCGTATATAATGAGAAGTTAAGGTCATTTTCTTCCACTGGTTAGTAGCTGTCCAGCGCAGTATGTGTAGGGCTTCTCATGTAGCTTTGATTAATCTCCATGTTGGCATCAAGGAAGGAAAAGCCATGAGATTTGTGGCATAAGGGATATGACAGCTCCTTAGTTTTGCCTCTTCATGTAGGCATATTTAGAGTACTACTACTGAATATGAGAGCGATCTTCGCAGTAATGAAGCCGCAGTTCACAAATACGATTTTCATATATTCACAGTCATTTCTTCATCACTTCACGGGTTTATTTGGAACCAACATAATGATCAGCTCCCAGTTGGCTTGTTAGCTCAGTTGCTAAAGCACAACACAGTATCGCAAAGGTCACGGGTTTAAATCCCGTACAGGCCTCAATTTTTTTCAGGTCTTATTTTCACAACTGCTCAAGTAGTGTTCATTACCGCGAAGATCGCTTTCATATTCACCTCTTTATCCGCAGTTCACATATATGATTTTCATATAGTCACAGTCATTTAGTACAAGTACTGTAGATATTCATTCAGAGCCTGAGTTCTTTTTGACAGCAGCAGTTGAGTCAAACTCCGTTTTACTGTCACGCAGAATACTTTCTTCGTTTATGTGGTGTTTGTGACCCTAAACGTAACATGACTTTCAACTTCTCCTGCTGGTAGCATTATTTCGGATGGTATACAACCAGGTGGAAGAGGTATACTTACGTAACTTCCAAGAGGTTTTGTCGAGTGGCTAAATCGATTTCGGTCAAAGATGCGTGTTATGACGATGCCTTTGTCACCGTCCTGATACTTTACATTTTGAAAAGGGACGACTCGGCTTTTGAAACTTGATCTGCTCTCCCGAAACTTTTGCTTGGAGGATTGGAATAATCCAGTTTTGCCGCATTCACTGCTGTCTGCGGCAAAAGTGTCTTGAGTTTTGTACTTTTCTTCATCAAGGAGTGGTGGAGAGACGGCATGGTGTTCTGTCGCGGTAGCAAATGATGCAATTTCGTCTGAATGTGTTCTTTTTGAGGAGTCAGACATTTTTTTTAGGAATATAGGAAAATTTCTGACGTTAAGCCTTTTAATGAGCGTGTTATTGTTGTTTTGTTTTTCTGAGTAACCTGTGGATATTGGTTGATCTTGATCCTACGTGTTGTGTAAAGAAGCCCATGAAATGTTCAGGATTTTTCTAGTTTATCATAGAATGAAATATTTTATTCTCTTGCTCTTTCCCAAATTAGTTCCCTACAAACCCTTCACTCACCGAGTTCAGGCGGCTGTTTACAAATAATAGAGAACACTCGTACTCGCCCAAGTCTATTCAGTTTAGCACTCTGCCGCCAAATTCACCGCAGAAGTCAGAAAATACGGGCTCCCGAAAAAAAACGGCTACTTGAAAGTACGAAACCTCAATTTGCTGGCCTTTCTTTTATTCGCCGTTCGTGACGCTATATACTTACTACATCTGAGGCATCAGAGCCAGCGCTACATCCACGCATTGGAACCCGACATCAAAATGCTATTTTAAAACGTACGAAAAATTCAACGTGAGTGGTTCGACTAATTTTTTGCTGAAACTTAAAGCTGAAAATGCTTAAAAATCAGCTTGTAAGAGAGAAAAATAAATTTACATTTCTTATTTCTTCATTCACTGTATTCTCTAGCCACTAAAAGTAAATTTAGCCGGCAAACCATAAGCACGAACGGATCTTGTTGAGCCGCGAATTGTGTCATTTCAAAGGGAATTTTTTAAGTTCGATTCCAGGGATGGCTTTACCTTGCGATCTCTTTTTCTTTTCTCGCGGCAAACGCAGTCATATGCGGTATCGGAGAACAACAGAAGGTCAGCGTTTATTCAAGCTGCATGTTCAAGGACGAAGTCAAGTCAAAGGAATGAAAAGCTCCGCTTTTAATAACAACCGGAGCATTAATCATCATTTCAAGTGTGTATTGCGATGTAGATTATGTCGGCTTCTCGAGTTGACATGGAGAACCACTAGCAATCGAAGATCACAAACACGCGAGGGGAGCTCGTGAGGAGCCTGTTGGTGTGCGAGAATTTCCGAATATTCAATAATAAGAGACATCCAACGTTGAGATAAAACATTTTCATTACAGTTCAAAGAACTTTTTGTCACATGAGGAGGTGGTTTTCTGTATTCGCCAATATTTAAACGGTTTTTTTCTTACGATTTCCTAAATACGTTTGATGTTATCACGCTGTTGATTTATTTATACCTCTTGCCAACTGAAAGGCTAACTAATTGCAGACCAATTAATCCACCGAACTTAGCACACTGCACAATCTATGGAGCTTTGCTGTCAGCATAATGTGATTCACGAGCAATTTTCTAAATTTGTCTCTCTCTCTTTTACCCCTTCCCCCCCCCCATTTCTAGTC